GCCCTTTTATTGGTGAATTGCTTGTGTAAGAGAAGAAGTCAAAGGAGATTGATTGACATGAAGTATGTCTGTAGAAATTTGAAGAGACGAGAGTTGTTTCAGTGTAATGTATGTAACCGATGATTGCGTGATTTGGATTCAGTCCCATTTTTCTTCTCTATTTTGACTATTTCCTCTCCCTCAATATTTATATGAATATTTCTTATAATATTCAATTCAATGGTGTTTGATAGTGAACATACCCCCCTTAAAACATATCAGAAGATTTGGTGTCTAACTAAAGCTAAGTAGAAAAATAACACAACACAGTAGACAGTTTTGACATCAAGTTAACCCTATATCCTAAAGAAATCCAAGTCTAACTTACATAGTGAATAAATCGAGTTGCCAAATCGTTATCCGATTCAAACACTCTCGCCGAATCTCTCCTCACGCCCCGATTTGACCCTACCCTGATTCGAGCCTTACAACGACCAAAAACTTGATACTATTTTAGTTTTTATCATTCACTGAGAAGAAAAAATGCAACTCAAATGCATCATCAACAGGAATCATGAAGATAAAACAGTAACGTTGAAACTTTTAAAGACAAAGATCCTATAATACACTCGCAAACCTGTCTAAGTAGAAAATACAAAGCTCTGCAAAGGTTTTGTCCAGAGAGTTTGAGATTTTCATAAAGATACATATAGATAATTAAATTCTATAGCAGCAAAGATAACATACAAAAGAAGGGAAAACACAGCCCAAAACAAATCAGCTCCATCTTTTTCTTTTCTTTTGGGAGGTAAAAACAAAGAACTTAGGAGACAAACCAAGTTAGAAAAACTATACCTGTTCCTATAACGTGCTAAATATAGAGCATGTGTTTCTGATCAGATCAGATCAGAGCAGAGCTACAAAGGAGGGAACTCCTGGTCATCCGTCAAATGGTATGACTGCGTAGGCATTACCCTACATGTACGTAACCCACAATGAATTAGACACAGTGAGTGGATTAGAAAGACCAACGGGTAAATAATACAATGAAAGTAAGAGATATACTGTACCGATCTTCTTGCGTGGAGGAGGATTTTGGGCGGTGTGGTCGATTATGATTACCTCCACTGCTTATATCTCTTTGCATGCTCCCATCGGGAGGGGAGAGTAGTTCTGCTGGTAGAGGCTCTGTAGACCTAAAATCTGGAGCCTTCTCATATGGATGATTTGCAGAGCCATTAGAATCGGGAAAGCTTTCAAGTGAATCAGTTTGACTCTCGTCACACGAACCATTTGTTTGGTTTAAATGATGAAGCTGTCGCTCACGCGCGTTTCTGTCAGGGAAATTCTCACGAGCGTTTCTGTCAGGGAAATTCATTTCTGAGTGTGAGTGTGCCATGCTTCGGCCGTTATTACGAGGCGACCTAGCTTGGTGTGAATTTCTTCCTTTTGGGGAGTACGGTCTATCCCTGTAGTGGTTCTGCATAAAAGAGACGTTATGAAGCTTGGCTATTGAGAGGGCACAATTATTTTTACACAGTATCCGTAAGGGATGTGTGAGAGGCTTATAAGTTATACCGCATTGGGGAAGTATGTTCCAGTTCCTCTTGGCTTAGGCATTTCCTCGACAAAATTAGCTCCTGGAATCATCTGAGGATTCACATGAAAGAAAACCTGTCTCAGGACAACTCCATTGGCGTTTACTGGACCAGATGCATTCCGCCTGAATGGCAGTGCATGTCGAATTACTTCCCACGAATTGTTGTTCGGAAGATGAGACAGCCCTGGGGGAGATAGTGGAGACGGAGAACCATTTTGGACATAATCAAACCACCAGCGCCCATATCGCAAACTGTTAAGCTGACTATCATAATCCCCTGCGAGGTCAGACAGCAAATTTGGAGTGCCTGGAGCACAATGACCTGAGTAATGGAGATGCATGTTTTCCTGCGGCCAAGTTACCGGGTTCATGAGGGTAGCGTGGTGAACTGATCCTGTGAACGGCAGGTCTTCATGACCAAGTCGTTTGTTCTCATTCTCATTACTATGTCTATCTTTAATTCTTCTGGAATCAGCAAGCCTATGATTCTCTTGCTGTTTCTCAACTCCGTTTCCATTTAAAATTTCTCCATTTCTCATCTGATGAAGAGAATTATGTTCACCATTCAAAGGAGAGACACCTTCCTTATCACTAAGGCACGGAGATTTCATTACATCATCGGAAATATCAAGCTTTTGGATCCTCACAGTAGCCAAGTCTTTAGCGTCTCCTGCAAATCGTTCCTCTGAAACCTCTGGGGATGTTTCACCAGGTGATCCGCATAAATCAAGCCCAGATGTACTTGATGGTTCGACTCCTGCATACAACGAGTCTTCATGGTCATGTCTACCATTTCCAGCAGCAACAGATGAACTGGAGGATTCTGATTCATAAACCACTGCGCCTTCTTGAAAATGGTTGGCAGTTGAAGCTGGCGATATGGCACTGTACCTGTTGTACCTTATAAATGGAACAGCATCAAGGACATCGGGCCTCTGGCCACTTCCATGCCTGTGTAGCATGTTAGAGAAGAACTTACGAAGCTCAAAACTTATGTCTTCTTCTGACTGCAAAATGATTTGCCCAAGCTTCCGAGCACCATATGTGAATGCACTTCGTATGCGGTAGAAGTTACCTATGTCAGAGAAAGTAATATCCATGCGCTTCAAAAAAATATACCAACACAGAGAACTGTCTAGACTATAAACTCCATAATTTATACTCAGTTTAAAGGTTTATCTCATGTTTAAACATTTCTTCAATTGCAGGGTGAAAAGACATGCCAGAATACATTCTGAATTTTAGCCTGCACTTCATATCTACACACCCTAATCAAATATTTCAGGAAAAAACAGCATAATGTTATGTAACGCTAAAACTCTGGACAAGGACAGGTCAGAAGCGATTGTCTTAAGAAGCCTGCTTAAACAATCTAAATCCATAAGGAGAGAGCTAACAGCAAGAAAACGGAAAACTGTGATGGTTGGAGAAAAGAAAAGCAGTCCACCTTTGCTTACGCTGCGACCAAGATTGTTATTTTCTTTAAGCGGATCAACTATGTTAAGATGCTTCGGTGGAAATACACGTGGGTTTGTCTCAAATCCTCGTGAAGGTACAGAGTACATCTCCAAACATTCCTTGAGGAACTCACTGGTCAGCAACAGATCTTTCCCGCCATTTTCCAGGGTCTCAACTACAGACATTAAAGAAATTGCAGACACTGAAATCACAAAAGATCTCAGTTGTACATAAACTCGAGGAGATGCGTACCAATAATTTCTGGAAGGGAGGAAAGGCAGATGGGACCATTCAGGCTAATGCAATAGTTATCCCAGTCAAACTTGCTGAAGTAGTCCAAGAATTTGTATAGAACCTGCGGAAAAACAAAAGCTCAGTAAATTAAGATGAGACTAAACGATGAAATATCCCTCAAAATTGTTGAAGGCTCTTACTGCTAGTGGACCATTCAATGATGAGTGGAAGAAATGGAAGATATATAAGACCAATGTCTCCAGAGCATAAGTTGAGATCAATCCATGAGGAGCCCCGAGAATACGGCTCTCGTAGTAGCACCAAGCTTTAATGAGTATGATACTTCGCTTGAAGAGATGGTCCTTTCCAATGATGTGATCAATCTACATAATTAACTCTCGAAGTCAATTTTCCAGAAGCAAATCTTTGCAATCTTCGAAAATTGCTGAATGAATATTATTATAGGCAAATGCACCTCGAACATATCATTGTGCGCATGTAATATTGCAAACAAATAGCAAAATTCAAGAAAATCTATTGAGTTAAGAGAAAACCCCTCATGCAGTTGAGTGAAAACAATGTCATCATAACAGATTAGCAACATTCAACTTCTGTTGTACATACATCGAACAGATAAAATAAGACCTTGAACTGTATTTACCTTTGAAAAAGTTTTACTTAAATTTGTTTGACACAGCATGGTCATACTGAAGAGGACAGATTACCTTCTCGAGAAAGCACAGAGTACAAATCCCACCAAGCTGATTGAAAGAGATATCAACCACAATGTTTTGCACCAGACATTTAACAAGCTTAACCTGCAACAAAACAAAAGGTCGGTACTCGAGGATATAACAACAACATCATAAGCATGCATAAACAACATATACATACATACTATGAATAACATAGAGATAGGATAAACAAACCTCTGCCCGTATTAACTGCACATCCTTAACCACAAAATGGGCACCCCCATTATGTTCTTCTCTCTCAAGTACAGAGAAAACCTTGAGGGCTAGTTCTTCCTCGTGACACGGTCCACCAAAAGCTGTGAGATCAATGTCTCCATCAGGAAGATAAGTTTTCAATGGCACCGATCCAAAAGAATGTACCTGAAAAGACACACACACATACACGTTTACAACTATGAAAAGCACATCCATAGTGAATTGAAATTATCAGCCGCAACATCGCAGAATCTCCAGCCATGGTTGATTCAAGCAAGTTCCAACATTTAAAGCAAGTCTAAGCATTTTCAAGATAACAAAGACAAAAAAAAAAACCAAATGTGTAGCAACATAACCACAGAAATGTTGAAAAGGGGATTAATTAATTAACCTCGCAACCAAGTGTCATTTTGATTAGTCTTTGCACATAATCAATCACATCTCTTCTCCGATCCTCAGATACAAGTGTTGGATGAACCTGCTCTATAATTTCACGGGTTGCTTCCTCAAGTCTCTTCCAAAACTCCGACTGATTCGACGGAGACCGAGGCGGCGGAAGCGGTGCAAATGAGGAGGAACTCTCTTCAGACCAATCATCGAGATCCGTGGCCAT